ATATATATATATATATATATATATATATATTTAAATTAAATAAATTAGATTATTATATTTTATGACATTTTCTGCTGATAAATACATAGTCAAAAATACATAATAAAATACTAATTTAAATAATGTATGTATTATTGTTTTTAATGTGTATTTACATTATTAACAAGTTTACTGTTCATAAATAAATGACGTATATATGCATTTAAAAAATATAAATTCTAATTTATAATTATGTTTAAATTAAATATAATAAAAATTTCATCTGATTATCAATAGCAAGTAGCATATCATAGTTTGTCATTATGTCTTAATTAATACTTCATTTATTAGTTGCCCATCTGTCAGAAGCAGCTTTGTGTGTTTTTCTCTGCTATTGATATATACTTCTCCAGATTCCTGATTCAACAGGGAATACGTCAAATAAGGATAGAAACCTGCTTGTCAAATACTTCACGTGTTCCTTAAATACAGTAGTCTGAAATAAATGATATATTATCAACATTTATATTAGCAGAACCTGATTGACATCGCATACATCCCGATCCAACACTTTTCTACATCAGCATCGTCTCATCGGGCTCTGTGTAACCTGCATGAACCCTCTCTGGCCTTGCTTTCCCATCATGCCGCGGTGCAGCCGGCTATCAAGCTTCCACATTGTCGCCTCGCCTCAGTGGTCTGCTCACAACGCTGACGGTGTTTCATAGTAACTTTCCATGTTTTGTGACTAAACTAGGGTGCCACATGCTTCCTGATCACTGCGCTTCTACTGTTTGGCTTGGGCTACTTCTGGAATACATATAAAGTGTTTTGGATCCAGGCTAAATATGAGTTATACTGGGAAACTAGACCAGCTTTCATAAAACAGTACTATTTATAAATGATATACGTGACCCTGGACCACAAAACCAGTCGTGAGGGTAAATTTTTTTAAATTGAGATTTATACAACATCTGAAAGCTGAATAAATAAGCTTTCCACAAAATTTGGCCGAGATGCAACTATTTGAAAATCTGGAATCTGAGGGTGCAAAAAAAATTTTAATACAGAAAATCGCCTTTAAAGTTGTCCAAATGAAGTTCTTAGCCATGCATATTGCTAATCAAAAATTAAGTTTTGATATATTTACGGTAGGAAATTTAGAAAATATCTTCATGGAACATGATCTTTACTTAATATCCTAATGATTTTTAACATAAAAGAAAAATGGATCATTTTGACCCATACAATGTATTGTTGGCTATTGCTACAAATATACCCCAGCGACTTAAGACTGCTTTTGTGCTCCAGGGTCACATATGATGTTTGTGATGCAATTTAATGGGTTTACTTTTACTCTGGTATTTACAACAACATGCGTGCAGAAGAATGAAATCCTGACACTGAATGCAGATGATTGAAAATAATAATGCATCTACACACAAAAAGACCAAAATATTGTACTGGGACCCGATTCCCACCTCTAATAAATGTTGTTTGAGACCGTTTGAGAAGGACATTGAATATGAATAGCATACTAGTATACTACTATGAATAATAAAGTGAACAGTATGCTGATTTTCTGTATGCATTGATTGGGCTGCCAAAAGTTGATATTTTGGGATAAAATATCCCCAAAAAAATTACATTTAAAATGATACATTAAAAAAATGATAAAATGAAAAAAAAAAAATTTTTTAAATGGTACATAAATTGTATGTACAAAAGTTTAGGGTCAGTATTTTTATATTTTCACATTTTTTAAATACGTTTATTCAGCAAGGATGCATTAAAATGATCAAAAATGACAGTAAAGACATTTATAATGTTACGAAACATTCAAATAAATGCTGTTCTTTTGAACTTCCTGTTCATCAAAGAATCCTGAAAAATAAGATGTATCACGGTTTCCACAACAATATTGGGCAGCACAACTCTTTTCAAGATTGATAATAATCAGAAATGTTTCTTAATCTAGAATGATTCCTGAAGATCATGTGACACTGAAGACTGGAGCAATGATGCTGAAAATTCAGCTTTGATCTCAGCAATAAATTACATTTTAACAGATATTCACATAGAAAACAGTTATTGTAATAATATTTTTACATTTTTTTGTATTTTTGATCAAATAAATGCGGCCTTGATTAACATAAGAGACTTTAAAAACTCCAAACTTTGAAACAATAGTGCATCTTAATTTTTGAAGTATTTTTCCCCTTTCTTCCTCAACAGAAGCTTGCAAACAAGACGCCTACTTTCTATCCAACTCCTTTGCATTTGCTGCTTTCCACTCCTGAGAACACTAAACACGACTTTCTAGGGAGCATTTGAGTCACTACCGTAGAAACCGAGAGCTCATAACCACTATATTAACATGCATACGCTCAGTAATTAGCATGCACATCCCTCGCTCATGACGTCTACATCCACACACACACACACACGCCATGCAGACGTCACGTAGCTGTCAATCAGAGCACTAAAGATCGACTGTGATGCTTAATGAGCCTTTACTAATATTCGGATGCCGTTTTGTGTTTTTTTTCCCCCTCTGTTTGTGCAGATCATCTTGAAGTAAACCACCGAAGAGGAATAACGGGGTGTCAGGAAGCTGCTTTGAGAAACCCAAAAAGATCCCCGTGTAAATACGACCTGCCCTCCTCCCCTTTAGAACTACAGCAACCTGCATGCTAAAGCGTAACACACAGAACACAAAAACACACGCTGTATACCTGTTATGCTCGGAAAAGTGACTCAACCGGTTTCTAACTTAAAAAACGAGACTAGAAAATATATATGAGTATATATAAATATATATGTTAATGTACAGCACGTTTCATAGAGGCATAAGTGAGATTTCATCCGAATGATCTGTCACCTGTCAGATAATGTGTATTTTTCTGCCATGGTTGTTTTAAATACAAATGCACAACGAGTGAGCGACGAGCGAGGGGACACACACACACACACACACACACACACGCGGTTTGCACTGTCAGAAATAGTGCTTAATAATAAGTGCTTGATTGTCTTGAACAGGAGGACGTCTCCTGCAGAGTATGTCTTAAACATCCCCATGCACCCTCTAGAGAGGGGAAAGAGGGATTTTGTTTCTTGTTTTAATACACAAAAACACCGAATGTCACACGGCGGACACACAGAAGATTGTCTACTGGTCAAAATGCGCCTCCCTTCTTGGACTTGAGCTATCTTCGGAAAGACATTATTCCCAACTCTTCATCCCCACTGGCCAAAGAAAGGTTTACAAGGACACAAAGCGCATACCGGTCGAAAACCTGTCAGCGGCGCAAGTGCGAATGTGGCAAACCGCGTGCCATGCAACCATGTTTCTGTCTGCGTCTCTGCTAAAGGACTGTGTTTAACTCCTTACTTTTTAGTTTTTAAATGGACGCTGAATGATTTCGATGTGTCTGTGGAAACACTGGCCATCAGGGAGTCGACTCTGGCTTCTATCCCGTGCCAAGGGCTTACATTAAACTGGAGAGCTGCTGTAAACAAACTCACACATGAGACGGACTTCTTCTCCAAATTGTCTGGGGCCTGTTCGTAGTCCCACTCACACGGTGCCCAGCGAGCGGAAACGACGAGGACGACACGTTGCAGTAGACGATCTTTGAGGCGTTGTGAATGGAGAGTGTGCTGCGCTCTCGCCGCTAATCCTGTTTTATTTGATAAACAGTAGAAGTGCCTAAAAAAATCTATTTTACACAGCGGGCATCTTGAGAAGATGACTTTATGTGGGGTTGGGGGTTATAAAAACATTCAAAGCGAAGCTCCCGAAATGATTTTGGCCAGACGAGTGATCAAAACAATACAAAACAAAAAAAAGTTAAATGCATTTCATGCACATCATGGTCTGTTTCATTACACAATGTCGATGTTGCTAGAATCGGTGCGAGGCGGCATAGGCGGAATGTTTGTTTTGTTGTACGATGTTAGCTTTTATGCTTTCTTGGAGTAGCTGACATTGGAAATGTGAGGAACTTGGAGCTCAATGTCTGTAACACACGTGAAGTTTTGAGTTTGGTAAATGATTGTCATTACGGTGTGTTCTTAACCAGTGATGTTGTTGAGTCTGAGGACTGTATGTTAAAGGGACAGTTCACCCAAAAATGAAAATTTGCCGAAAATGTAGATGTAGATGAGTTTGTTCTTCATCAGATTTGGAGAAATGTTGCATTGCATCACTTGCTCAGCAATGGATCCTCTGCAGTGAATGGGTGCCGTCAGAATGAGAGCTGATAAAAACATCACAATAATCCACAAGACACTCCAGTCCATCAGTTAACATCTTGAGAAGTGTAAAGCTGCATGTTTGTAAGAAACAAATTGATCATTAAGACTTTTTTTTTTTTTTTTTTTTACTTCAAACTGTCCATAATTCATAATAATGCTTCCTCCAGTGAAAAAGTGGTCTAGTCTGAATCAGGAGAGAAATATGAACAGATTAAGCCAAAACAGCTCTAAACAAATATGTGGTGGATTTTAATGTGAGAGACGACAGGAGATGGACTTTTTAACTGGAGTTAGTGTTATTATGGACTATGGACTCATATTTTAACCAAAAGCAATGGTTTGATGTTAAAAACGTCTTAACAATGGATTTGTTTCTCAAAAACACGCAGCTTTTGTCTTCACAAGATGCTAATTGATGGACTGGAGTGGTGTGGATTACTTGTGGATTATTGTGATGTTTTTATCAGCTCTCATTCTGACGGCACCCATTCACTGCAGAGCATCCATTGCTGAGACACTGATGCAATGCTACATTTTTCCAAACCTTTTCCCATGAAGAAACAAACCCCTCTACATCTTAGATGGCCTGAGGGTGAGGACATTTGCAACAAACTTTAATTTTTTGGGTGGACTGCTCTTTTAACAAACACATCTGTCATTTTTTTACTATAACAAATCATCTAACAGCATTGTTTAGTTTTTATTTGGATGGTGTTTTACCTGGAATTGCGCACACGGCCTTCTTTTCCTCCCTGATTTGTTTTGGGCGAAGCGTGTGTACCTGCATGCCTGCGCGAGTGTGTTACCGATCCAATCAGAACCATCATGTATTTTCATGGTGCTCGATTAACACAGACAATCCACGAAGAGACGTTTGGTTTCGCAGGAATATGGCACTGGTCTTAGCATTTTTGTTTTTAAATTCATGTCATTTTTTTTCGTTTAGGGTTTTTTTTCGCTGTTGTCGCAAAAGTTACAGTTTTAATGTAATTTTTGATGTGGAAAGTGATTTAAATATATTTTATTGTCATTCTGTTCATTCTTTATTTTGTTTTGTTAAATACTAGAACACAGAGCAATGGTGTAACCTATTTTAAAAATGAATGTAATTTATTAAGCCGGGCTTAGCTACGCGCAGCGGTCCTCGGCCAATCAGGAGCCGCTTCTAAATCTCTCGTTCGGGACGCCGCGTCGTAGCGTAAGCAAGGCTATAGAATTGCTTGTGTTATGTAAAAATGTTTATTGTATAGGTAATGTTTTACCAACAACAACAAAAAAAAAACTCAAATGGAAAAAAATGAAGAAAAAAAAACTGTAGTATAATAGTTATTTCATAATAATAATAATATTAAGTTGTTGCTGTGGCAACCTAAAAAGTTGCGAATACTAAATTTTGGTATTTTTGTAAATGATGTAGTTAAGTTGATTTTTTTTTTCTTTCATTTGTTTATTTCGTTTATTTTCTTTTTTCCTAGAGCACTGTAAAACGTTAGATTGTAAAGCAGATATTGGAACATTTCCTATTTTATGTCGAGATTATATTACCAGGAGATTTTTCGGTAGCATTTAACGGCCTTTTTATTGGTGTAACATTTTAAGATAGTAGTAAATACTCACAGATACAATAGTGTGACGTAACTTAAGAAACGACTCTAGTGTTGGGTTAACCCGCGCCCCTTCCCCGTTTTAGATTGACAAAGGATCTCAAGTACTCGTGAAGATCGTTTTTTATATTATTTATGAAAGTTGTCCTGGTTTGTTCAACAACTTAAACAAATTAACGATTGCACTTTGATTTCATGTAACCGTAGGATGTTCATTTCAAAAACCGATGCACAATGAATATGGTATGGCAACACGAATCAATGACGGTTGTTTTATTGCTTTAGTTAAACCAGAGAACTTAATATTCAGTAAGCATCTTGCATGGTATTTTATGTCAAATTAAGAAGTTATTTTCAATTTAACCTGAGAAAATAAAAAAAAGAAATATATTGAATGTTTCTATCTACACTATAAAAAAAAAATAAAAAAAACCTGCACACGTGATGAAAGTAACGGTTGTCCTTAATTTGGGATTTCTTACACCCCAGACGAAATGTACAGAGATGTGGGACAAAACAATTGTTGACTGGTTGTGAAAAAGCACTTTGGAATCAGTTGATATACTGAGCAGACACAGCGTATCCAAACACTTTGCCTTACCTTTAGTCTATTGTTTAAGCTTTTGTGTTTCAGAGCTATTAATATGTACTAGGGTGTCAACAGGTCTACTGAACTTACTTCTCACCTCCATTTATATATGAATATATACTATACCTATAACTAATGTAAGTAATTTTTATGATTATTATTATTTCGAAGCATTATCACTGAGAGGCCAAAAGGCTTGACGGTGTTGATGCTTTTCAATGCCCTTTCCTGTTTGCGACGAGACGCCGTTCTCAAGGGATTGTGGGTATTTACGCTGTGCTGCTTGACTTCCATCAGTAATGCAGTAGCCCATCCACAAACACACACACATTCACAGAGATAATACGAGAAGAAAATTATAAACCAAGCCCTCTTTGGATAATATTAGTTTTCATGTAACCATTTTAAATGTTTTATTTGTGCATATATATTATGTGCTATTTTATGTCATATAGTCAAATGTTTTTGGTTCCAGAATAATTGTGTAAAATCTATTGAGATAAAATGAATAAAGAAAGAAAAAAAGGACACGTGTGTTTTTTAATGCTTGATTGTGTTTCATTTGCATGAGCATGTGTGAAACTACGAGCACCGTGGTAATACATTGGTTTTGGGATTCTACCATGGTGTGTGTGTTTGTATATCCAAGTTTCCATCCTCTTTTTGCACTGTTAATTTAAACTCTTTTTTTTCTTTTATATTTCCATCTTCATTTATATTTAAGTTAAACTTTTAGTAATTTTGTTTAATTTTACTTTTTGTTCATTTCATTGTCATTTTAGTGGTTTTATATTTATATAGAGAGAGAGAGAGAGATTTAGCTGAAATGGTTTTAGATTTAATTTCAGTTCGCATTTATTTGATTTATTTTTGTGTTTTACTTAACTATAATAATATAAAACCATGTTATTGACAAAGTGAAAATGCGTTAAAAAAATGAAATTAGCTGTCTCCAGACAGTTTCCAATTGGTTTTTACTGATAAAATGCTGTATGTAATGGTGATACTATGGTATATGGTTATCATTCAATACTATACCATTATCATCTGATACCATCTTGTTACCATGGTAGAACATTACTGTGACATAAATACCATGGTATTATTTGAATAATTTAAAACTGAATGCTCTTGTATTAGTTGTGCAAGTGTACTGTACTGTACAGTTGTGATACTGCATTTAGACAAGCTATATGTTATTAATTCTTACAATTAAAATGAATAGTCAATGCAAAAATTTATATTAATTGTATGATATTGTTTACATATTTTTATGTTACATATGGTCCTTTTTGAAGCTTAAAACAAGCCTGAGTAGATGTTAATTGCATGCAAAACAACAACCAGCCATTTCTGATTTGTGTTGCATGGAAGAACAAAACACACAATTTTGGAAAGACATTATGGTAAACAAAATAATGACTTGATTCTTCATTTTTGGCTGAACT